AAAATCGCTTAGGTGATTATCGCGTAATAATCACCTCAACGGCAACCAATCAGCGTGGAGAATTTTCAATAATCACCTATGTAATTATACTAAAGTTTATTAATACCTAGCAAGCAATGCCTAGCTAGCAATACCCACAGTCTGAAATAGCTTACTTTTATTCAAGCAGCAAGTGAAAAGAATGCATGAGAATATTGTGATCTTCACAACTCCTATATATTAGCTATACCTTATTGTTATACAGGCTGAGGGCGTATCTGAAAAAAGTAGACAATTTTGAAATAGCTCTCAATTTCACAAATCCGTTCATGTCATGACATTTTTGAAAAATATAGATTGTTTGGGTACTTATAATGTAGAATAAACAAAAAAATTGCGAAGATAAATTTTCCAAAGCAGACGGGGTGTCTTTTTTAGCAGCATTGAAAATAGCTTGCGCGCGAAATTTAAATATGCATTTTTTTGAGTTCATGTATGGGCGAAAATTTATGTACATGTGTTTTATTAATGGTCCAAATTTCAGAAAACTTGCTCAGTTTTACATACTTTAAATAGCTGCTGAAACATTCATTTTTTTTTGCTCCAATGCAATTTGCATATTGTTATTTTACTTTTTTACAATAACAATATGTAAATTAGGTAAAGCATAAATTAAGCATGCAAAAATGAAAATTTCAGCAGCTATGTAGGGACTGGTCATAAAGTAACTGCTAGGGTGGGCTGGAGGAAAATCACAAATTTTGCCAATAATTTCGGTGACCCATCTTAGGATGTAGATTAAAATTTCAAAGCCCATCTAATCTTACAAAAAAATTTTCATGACCCACCCAATCTAAATTGGGAAAATACACTTTTATAATAAAAAAAACTTGCGGGTATGAACATTGTAAATATACACGTCACTGTATTGACATACTCATAATTCCACCAAGCTTGACCAACACATTGATACTGAGCTGCTCTCCAGTTGGTTGTATTTGCGGTGATTTGACCATGCCACTTCTTGTTGTTGCATAAACAAAGTACTGGATTCAATAGCATAATTTGCATTTGATAATTTGGATAGTTTTGTTCACTTTTATTATTAATATCTTTATTTTTTGAAGTAGACATGCATGGGTTTTTGTTTGGTGGCCCAACCGTGGACATACAAAAAAATTGGCGGCCCATTGAAACTGCCCAAAGATTTTCCATGGCCCATCCCAAATCACTCCAGCCCACCCTAGCAGTTACTTTATGACCGGTCCCTTAAATGACTTAAAATTCAGCAAATTTTCGGGAATTGGGACCGTTAATAAAACACATAACAAATTTCTCGTCCATAAACTCAAAATGCGTTTTAAACTTTTAAATTTCGCGCGCAAGCTAATTTTGACGCTGCTAAAAAAGACACCCCCCCCCTGCTCTGGAAAATTTATCTTTACGAAAATGTTTTGTTTATTCTACATTATAAGTACCCAAACAATCTATATTTATCAAAAAATTCATGACATGAACCGATTTGTGAAATTGAGAGCCGTTTCAAAATTGACTCTACTTTTTTCTGATACACCCTGTGTAGCTAGGGTAAACACCATAGATATCTTATATACACTAGATAGTGCATCTAATTATTCTGCAATTCAAAAATTGAAGCCGTGATTGCAGTCTCAGGTCGTTCCCATGAAATGAGAAGATTCGTATGTTTTCTATTTCTTAAACAG